CCTTATACTAAAATCCCACCTCTTCCTTTTCTAATTAACCCTTTCCTGTCTTTTTATGCCCCCTCTTAGCCTCGTCATGTCTGCCCTGCGCCATTTTCTTTTCTTTCCTTTCGCTACGGGCATCTCTTTCCTAGAGCAGCCTTCGTTTTTGAAGCCTCCCGGTTTTATTTGTTTCCACGTTTTTTTCACACTACATCGCTCCACTTAATGATATTCCTAAATTCGGTATTTTTTATAGATCCCACAATTAGGAGATGACTGAGCTTAGGGAGCAGTTTTCCCCCCTCCGGAGAACGAATCCTTCCACCGTAGACATCTCAAGGTCAACCGGCTCCTCTTCCCATAAGTTATTATTTAATACGCCTGCTTCGGGGTAAGGTGAGCCTTAAAAAAATGTGTTGAGAAGGGCACGGCGCTCAACTTCGCACGCGGCTCTCGTGTTGTTATGAAAAAATAGATAATTAGGTTTCGCCGTTTCATTAGTTTTTATATAGATAAAAAGTTCCATGGCGTTCCCAGGAGGATGTTGGGTTCATCGGTGTCCCTTCATCTTCTGCAGGCTACACTAAATAACTCTAATTTATCGCCCCGTTGGGGTTTTTTTTTTTTCCTTTTTTTTTTTTTTTGCCTGTGTAAATTCATGATGGGTAGTTTTACATTTCATCTCAGGTTAAGAACATTCTAATCAAAGAGCTGCACATAAAAAGAAAATATTGGGCTTCGGCTTTCAGATAATGAAATCATAATGAACAGAGGAACTTGTTTATTTACAATAAAAATGAATTCATGAGTTCAATCTGTGAAAATTAGCTGGAATCCTCACAACTAGGCAATATAGGCATTACCAGTGCCCACCCAGTCCCTTCATTTCATCCCCAACAGAGGTGGAACTAGAACCTTCAGGGCCCCAGTGCAAGAAACCACGATGGGCCACCATGGCTCTTTACTCCCATCATGTATATATATATATATATATATATATATATATATATACAGTAATATATTTGATATATATATACAGGGGCGGACTAACCATTTGGAAATACATACATGAGTATATTTATATAAAATACGATATATAGCACAGGATGGAAGTGTGTTTGGACCGGCCACCAATGTCCAGACTGAGAGTGTGATAAGAAATACTCAGCAGGCACTTTGATAGTAATAAGTCGGTCAGTTGGGTGGTCCTTGACAGCTGACAATCTGTGTTGGGATGTCTAGGATCCCCAAATTTTCTGTCCCCCTTTCTATATAGGTTTGTGCCCAGGGGCGGACTGACCATTTGGAGACTCGGTCAGTAGGGGGCCCCATGAGATGCCCCTGGTACGTTTTTCATAGGCTTTTTTGAGTTTGGGCAAGGACACAGGGGCCCCATGATCCCCCTATTGCCCGGGGGCCCCATGAGTCATCAGTCCGCCCCTGTAGGGCCACCTGGATATATATATACTTACACACACACACATATACGCACACAACTTTTTTTTTAAATATATTCTTCAGATTTTTTTTAAACTTATAAAAAAAGTAATTTTAACATTTTTTTTACATATATTTGAAAATGCATTCCAAAAATGTAGATTGAATGTATTTTAAAGAAATATGGTATATTTGAAAATGTATTTTTAAAATATTTTTCATATATTTTGTAATAAAAATGCATTTCTACTGTGTTATATATTATATAAAAACTATATATATTATATATATATTTTTTATTATATATATAAAAATATATATACAGTTGTGACCAAAATTATTCAACCCCCAATGCTGTAAAGGGGTTTAGGGACTATAGTGTACATTTGGAATTGTATCAGAATCAAATCCTACAAGGACGTTGTAACTACCCAAATGCAACTAAAATGACATCAATTGTTTATGTAATACAGTAGTAAATGGTTCTTATGTGGTTTCTTCATTGCCACAATTATTCAACCCCTTAAAGACTACCACTCTGAAGAACAGAGGTTCATACAGGTGCTTTCCATCAGGTATTGAAAAACACCTGTGGATGTCACCGAGCAGCAATCAAGCATAATAAGCACCAATTAGGCAGCTTTAAAATGACTGTGATACTCAGCTCCTTCTAGACATTTACTGGTGTGGTTACAAAACATGGTGAAGGCAAGAGAATGGTCCAGGAAGACAAGAGAAGAGGTGATTTCATCTTCACAGGAAGGGCAATGGCTATAAGAAGATTGCAAAGATGTTAAACATACCAAGAGACACCTTAGGAAGCATCATTCGCAAATTCAAGGCAAAGGGCACTGTTGAAACGCTACCTGGTCGTGGCAGAAAGAAGATGCTGACTTCGACTGCTGTGCGCTACCTGAAGCGTAGAGTGGAGAGAAGTCCCCGTGTGACTGCTGAGGAACTGAGAAAAGATTTGTCAGATGTGGGTACAGAAGTTTCAGCCCAGACAATAAGACGCACACTGCGTAATGAAGGCCTCGTGCCAGAACTCCCAGGCGTACCCCCTTGCTGTCTCCAAAGAATAAGAAGAGTCGACTGCAGTATGCCAAAAGCCATGTGGACAAACCACAAAAGTTGTGTGGGATAGTGTTCTGTGGACTGATGAAACAAAATTAGAACTGTTTGGGCCCATGGATCAACGCTATGTTTGGAGGAGGAAGAACAAGGCCTATGATGAAAAGAACACCTTGCCTACTGTGAAGCATGGTGGAGGGTCAATCATGCTTTGGGGCTGTTTTGCTTCTGCAGGTACAGGGAAGCTTCAGCGTGTGCAAGGTACCATGAATTCTCTTCAGTACCAGGAGATATTGGATGGAAACGTGATGCAGTCCGTCACACACCTGAGGCTTGGGAGACGTTGGACCTTTCAACAGGACAATGATCCCAAGCATACCTCCAAGTCCACTAGAGCATGGTTGCAGAGGAAAGGCTGGAACATTTTGGAGTGGCCATCGCAGTCACCAGACTTAAATCCGATTGAGAACCTCTGGTGGGACTTAAAGAAAGCAGTTGCAGTGCGCAAGCCTAAGAATGTGACTGAACTGGAGGCCTTTGCCCATGAAGAATGGGCGAAGATACCCGTAGATCGCTGCAAGACACTTGTGTCAAGCTATGCTTCACGTTTAAAAGCTGTTATAACTGTAAAAGGATGCTGTACTAAGTACTAAGATTGAATGTCACTTGGGGGTTGAATAAAAACTGATAATGCTGTGAGCACAGAAAAGACATTTGTGGTTATTTCATTATAACTGTTATGTTATATTTGTCTGACCTACAAGTGCCTCTTTAATGTAAATGTAAGCAAGATGATCTGAATGATCAAAAGCAATGTCAAACTGGCCAAAACACTCAATTTCAGTGGGGGTTGAATAATTTTGGTCACAACTGTATATACATATTGAATACAGCCAAAACTAGTATTTCAGATATATTTAAAATATATTTTTCTTCCATGTGGGAGGGCACTGGTCGCAAGTGCAACCTTTTGCAACCCCAGTAGTTTCACCACTGGTTTCAGTCTTTTTTTTTTTTTTTATGTCATTTTCTTTCCCATTTTATTTTGTTGTATTATCTTTTTAATTTTTTGGGGGCTCTCAGTATCTAGCCCAGTCAGTGCTTCCATGTAAGCGCTAACAAACTCACTGACTATTTATACACTGACACTGATTGCAATTTAAAAAGCCACAGATGTGGCACATTAACCTCTAATTGGCATTGTAACCCGTGTGTGTCACCTTGTGTGTCTGTTACCAAGGCCCAACATTCCAGGGATGAAAACTTTGGATCATGGCCATTTGGGTGATTTCTGTTATCATTAGAATTTAACCACTTCCCGTCCGCCTACTGTTTATAAAACGGCACCCGCTATTTCTATAGTTGTGAGCGCTCCCTGGGAGCACGCAGCATCGCGATCCAGTGCCCGCTGTGTGTTCCGCACACAGTGAAAACACCGATCGTCGGACGGGAACTCTGTGCGAGGTCCCAATCATGTGATCACTGATTGGCCAATCAAGTGATCACATGCAAAGAAGTAAGCAAGATGTCACTTGTGACTTCATTGCTTACTACGTGTGAAATCTGTGAATGATCACAGAGAACACATGGTACAGGGCTATTCACAGCAGCCTTGTACCATGTGACAAGCTCTGACCAATCACAGCTCACTCAGTAGTTCTCAATGGCTGCAAGAATGCAGACATAGAGAAAGAGAAATGATTGCTTTTACACATCCTATATGGGTGTAAAAGCAATCAGTGTAAAAAAAATTTAAAAAAATCTTCATCACCCCCCACAAGTAGTACAGTTGTCACCATGGTAACACTACTGCTAGGGTGACAGTATGTAAAAAAAAACCCAAAAAACATAAATAATAATATAAAAAAAATTAAAATAAAAGATGTAAAAAAAAATGTTTTAAAAATTATAATTTTTGGTGATAAACTAATTTGGTGTTTTTTTTTACTAGAAAAAAGATAACGGAATACATTTTGGCCGAGATTTATGCATGAAATATTATTTATTTGCAAAATAGTTATAAGAAAAACACTTTTTTCAAAATATTTTGGACTTTTTCATTTACGTAGCAAAAAAAAAAAAAATCCCAGCGGTGAATAAATACCACCAAAATAAAAGCTTTATCTGTCTCTAAAAAAATGGTAAAAAAGTCACATGGGTACAGTGTTGTCCCTGCATGACCGCGCAATTGTCATTCAAAGTGTGATAGTGCTGAAAAGCTGAAAATTGCCTGGGGGGGACTGGGGGGGAAGTGTCCGGACTGGAAGGGGGGGGAAGTGTCCGGACTGGAAGGGGGTGAAAGTGTGGTCCGGACAGGAAGGGGGTGAAAAGTGTCCCCCGGACTGGAAGGTGGGGAAAGTGTCCGGACTGGAAGGGGGGGAAAGTGTCCGGACTGGAAGGGGGGGGAAGTGTCCGGACTGGAAGGGGAGGAAAGTGTCCGGACTGGAAGGGGAGGAAAGTGTCCGGACAGGAAGGGGGGGAAAGTGTCCGGACTGGAAGGGGGGGTGAAAGTGTCCGGACTGGAAGGGGGGGAAAGTGTCCGGACTGGAAGGGGGGGAAAGTGTCCGGACAGGAAGGGGGTGAAAGTGTCCGGACAGGAAGGGGGTGAAAGTGTCCGGACTGGAAGGGGGGGAAAAGTGTCCGGACTGGAAGGGGGGGAAAAGTGTCCGGACCTGGAAGGGGGGGGAAAGTGTCCGGACAGGAAGGGGGTGAAAGTGTCCGGACTGGAAGGGGTGTGAAAGTGTCCGGACTGGAAGGGGGGAAAGTGTCCGGACTGGAAGGGGGGAAAGTGTCCGGGACTGGAAGGGGGGAAAGTGTCCGGACTGGAAGGGGGGAAAGTGTCCGGACTGGAAGGGGGGGGAAGTGTCCGGACTGGAAGGGGGGGGGAAGTGTCCGGACTGGAAGGGGCGGGGGAAAGTGTCCGGACTGGAAGGGGGAATGAAAGTGTCCGGACTGGAAGGGGGTGAAAGTGTCCGGACTGGAAGGGGGTGAAAGTGTCCGGACTGGAAGGGGGGATTGAAAGTGTCGCTCCGAACTGGAAGGGGGGAATGTGAAGGGGGGGGGAAGGGAAAGTGTCCGGACTGGAAGGGGGGAGAGAAAGTGTACCGGACTGGAAGGGGGGAAGTGTCCGGACTGGAAGGGGGGGGGAAAGTGTACCGGACTGGAAGGGGGGGGGGAAGTGTCCGGACTGGAAGGGGGTGAAAGTGTTCCGACTGGAAGGGGGTGAAAGTGTCCGGACTGGATCGGAAGGGGTGAAAGTGTCCGGACTGGAAGGGGGTGAAAGTGTCCGGACTGGAAGGGGGTTGAAAGTGTCCGGACTGGAAGGGGGTGAAAGTGTCCGAAACTGGAAGGGGGTGAAGGGGGGGGAAAGTGTCCGACTGGAAGGGGGGGGGAAAGTGTCCGGACTGGAAGGGGGGGAAGTGTCCGGACTGGAAGGGGGGGGAAAGTGTCCGGACTGGAAGGGGGGGAAGTGTCCGGACTGGAAGGGGGGGAAAGTGTCCGGACTGGAAGGGGGTGAAAAGTGTCCGGACTGGAAGGGGGTGAAAGTGTCCGGACTGGAAGGGGGGTGAAAGTGTCCGGACTGGAAGGGGGGTGAAAGTGTCCGGACTGGAAGGGGGGTGTGAAGGGGGGGGAAAGTGTCTGGACTGAAAGGGGGTGAGGGGGGGAAAGTGTCTGGACTGGAAGGGGGGAAAGGGGGGGGGGCGAAAGTGTCTGGACTGGAAGGGGGGGAAAGTGTCCGAACTGGAAGGGGGAGTGAAGGGGGGGAAAGTGTCCGGACTGGAAGGGGGGGAAGTGTCCGGGGAAGGGGGGGAAGTGTCCGGACTGGAAGGGGGGGGAAAGTGTCCGGACTGGAAGGGGGGGAAGTGTCCGGACTGGAAGGGGGGGGAAAGTGTCCGGACTGGAAGGGGGTGAAAGTGTCCGGGACTGGAAGGGGGGTGAAAGTGTCCGGACTGGAAGGGGGTGAAAGTGTCCGGACTGGAAGGGGGTGTGGGAAGGGGGGGAAGTGTCTGGACTGGAGGGGGTGTGAAGGGGGGGGGAAAGTGTCGGACTGGAAGGGGGGTGAAGGGGGGGGGAAAGTGTCTGGAGACTGGAATCAAGGGGGGAAAGTCTATTGAGTGTCCGTACTGGAAAAGGGGGTGAAGGGGGGAAAGTGTCTGGACTGGAAGGGGGGAAAGTGTCCAGACTGGAATGGGGGGAAAGTGTCCGGACTGGAAGGGGGTGACTGAAGGGGGGGAAGTGTTGGATAGGCTGGAAGGGGGGGAAAGTGTCCAGACTGGAAGGGGGTGAAAGTGTCCGGGACAGGACAGGGGGGGGAAAGTGTCCGGACTGGAAGGGGGGGAAAGTGTCCCAGGACTGGAAGGGGGGGGGGAAAGTGTCCGGCTGACTTTGAAGGGGGGGACGGACCGGAAGGGGGGGAAAAGTGTCCGGACAGGAAGGGGGGGAACAGGAAGGCCAAAGTGGTACCGGAAGGGGCGGTGCCCGATTACCGTCCTAGGCCCAGGGGGGGGAAAGTCGTCCGGACTGGAAGGGGGGGAAAGTGTTCCTCCGGACAGGAAGGGGGGGGAAAGTGTCCGGACCAGGAACAGGGGGGGAAAGTGTCCGGACTGGAAGGGGGGGGGGGGGAAGTGTCCGGAATGGAAGGGGGGGGAAGTGTCCGGTAATGGAAGTGGTTAAAAAGGAGCCCAAACAACGATGTGATAATAAATGGCATCATATGATTCATCATCCTTCAATAAAAGACTCGGTCAGTAGGGGGCCCCATGAGATGCCCCTGGTTTCCTTTTTCATAGGCTTTTTGAGTTTGGGCAAGGACACAGGGGCCCCATGATCCCCTAGTGCCCGGGGGCCCCCATGAGTTTTCAGTCCGCCCCCGTTTGTGTCTTGGTCTTCTCTCAACAAGGGAAGTTCGACCTGAACCATAACCCTGCAATATGAGCTGAACATCACCGTACGTTGCTGTGAAGTAGAGGTGACACCAAGCACCTTGTGGATCTCAGAGACTATAAGAGGGACATCCGTTTCTCACTGTCATCAGTATGTTTATTGTGATCTTCAGAATGGTTTTAGTTACAAATATACGATTGAATGGATGTTTTGTATGTGTGTGGACATGCACAAGAGTGAAGGGGTATACGCAGGGCCGTGGATAAGGGGTACCACCAGTCCTCCTGTACGGGGCCCAGGCTTGCAGGGGGGCCCAGGCAGCTGGGTGAATTGGATGTGGACAGGAAAGGTTAACGGGGCAATTACTGGTACCAATCCCCTGTATGGCTTTCTCTGCAGCAGCTGAAAGTTGGGTTCTTCTCCTCTCCCTACCCCCCGGCCAGCTTTCAGCTGCTGCAGAGAGAAACATACAGGAGACCAGTTCCAGTCATTTACCAGCCTCTTCCATTCCTGAATGAACACAACGAGTGATCGGTACCGATCACTCAGTGTTCATTCATAACTGAAGCATAGTAAACTGTGTTTTTTTTTGTGGGCATGGGGAGCCCTGTTAGGTTGGCTATATGGGGCCCTGTGGTTTGGGGGGCCCTTGTCAGGTTGGCTGTAAGGGGCCACGTGGTTTCTAACAGCAGCCCTGGGTATACGTGAATGATGTGTATTGTGATCTTCATAATGGTTTTAGTTACAAATACACGATTGAATGGATGTTTTGTATGTATGTGGGCATGCAGAGGGTGAAGGGGTATACACAGTGGATAAGGGGGTACCACCAGTCCTCCTGTACGGGGCCCAAGCCTGCAGGGGGGCCCAGGCAGCTGGGTGAATTGGATGTGGGCAGGAAGGGTTAACAGGGCAATTACTGGTACCCAGGGGCGGGCTGAAAACTCATAAGGTGCGGGGCCCCCGGGCAATAGGGGATCATGGGGCCCCTGTGTCCTTGCCCAAACTCAAATAAGCCTATGAAAAAGGAACCAGGGGCATCTCATGGGGCCCCCTACTGACCCCGGGCCCTCGGGCAGTGCCCGAGTTTCCAAATGGTCAGTCCGCCCCTGCTGTTACCAATCCCCTGTATGGCTCTCTCTGCAGCAGCTGAAAGTTGGGTTCTTCTCCTCTCCCTACCCCCCCGGCTGGCTTTCAGCTGCTGCAGAGAGAAACATACAGGGGATCAGTTCCAGTAATTTTACCAGCCTCTTCCAATCCCGAATGAACACAATGAGTGATTGGTACTGATCACTCACTGTGTTCATTCATAACTGAAGCATAGTAAACTGTGTTTTTTTTTTTTTGTGGGGGCATGGGAGGCCCTGTACGGTTGGCTATATATGGGGTCCTGTCTGGTTGGTTGTAAGGGGCCCCGTGGTTTCTAACAGCAGTCCTGGGTATACGTGTATGATGGAATAGCATGTAGGGTAGTATATCGACTTTATTGAAACAAAATCCCGAAAAGTAAATAGCAATGCATCTAAAGGACACAGTCCCGTCTCCAACACCTTAGACTGAATCTTATTTACTAAAAGGAACTTATAGAAGCCATTCTATTGGTTAAAATCAGCCTTTCTCAGCCCTTTTTTAACATGGGGAACCCTTGAAATAACTTTCCAGGCTCAGGGAACCCCGGAGGGTACATTAGTGTGATGGTTGCAGCTTAAAGACATTTCCCAACTATTACATTTAAAGAATGTTACGCCAACATTTCAGATTCCTGATATGAGTCTTGTGCACCATGTGCTTGTATGAAAAAGTATCCTGTCCTCTTTGTGTGAAATACCCCGTGTTCCTGCCAGTCCCCCTGCTTTCCTATATCAGTCTGACCATGTTAGACGTGAGAGCACATCCATCCCAGTGTGGTCAGCTTTCTGGCTGTGCTGAGAGAACAGCCTGCCTGTTCTCCATCAATCAGACTTGGGCTGACACTCCCCACCTGCACAGCCTGCCTGTCCTCCAATAGTCAGACTTGTGCTGACACACCTCTCTGCACAGTCGTCCTGGCCTCCAGTGGTCAGACTTGTGCTGACACACCTCTCTGCACAGTCGTCCTGGCCTCCAGTGGTCAGACTTGTGCTGACACACACCTCCCTGCACAGTCATCCTGGCCTCCAGTGGTCAGACTTGTGCTGACACGACCCCCACGCACAGCCATTTACTAGAAAGATCTGTGTGCTGCTGTTTCTCCACCCCCACCTTTCTAATCCTTTATGCAGCTGAGATTATGTTAACACTTACAAAAAAAAAGAATAAAAAGGTATTTATATATTTGGCAGCCAAAGCTCATTGATACACGTGTAGAGCAAAGGCTGGTCCATGTAGTCTGATCTCATATAATAGAAGAGAGCGATTGGATCTCATATATATACACAGGGTCTTGGGCAGCCAAAACTCATTGATACACGTGGGGAGCAAAGGCTGGTCCATGTAGTCTGATCCAATAGAAGAGCTATTGGAGCTCATATATATATATATACACAGGGTCTTGGGCAGCCAAAACTCATTGATACACGTGTGGAGCGATGGCTGGTCCATGTAGTCTGATCCAATAGAAGAGCTATTGGAGCTCATATATATATACACACACAGGGTCTTGGGCAGCCAAAGCTCATTGATACACGTGGGGAGCGAAGGCTGGTCCATGTAGTCTGATCCAATAGAAGAGAGCGATTGGATCTCATATATATATATATATATATATACACAGGGTCTTGGGCAGCCAAAACTCATGATACACGTGTGGAGCGAAGGCTGGTCCATGTAGTCTGATCCAATAGAAGAGAGCGATTGGATCTCATATATATACACAGGGTCTTGGGCAGCCAAAGCTCATTGATACACGTGGGGAGCGAAAGGCTGGTCCATGTAGTCTGATCCAATAGAAGAGAGCGATTGGATCTCATATATATACACAGGGTCTTGGGCAGCCAAAACTCATTGATACACGTGGGGAGCAAAGGCTGGTCCATGTAGTCTGATCCAATAGAAGAGCTATTGGAGCTCAGATTACTGAAAAAGTGAATGCTGGTTCTGACAGAAAGGTGTCAGAACACACAGAGCATTGCAGTTTGGTGTGTATGGGGCGGTGTAGCTGCAGACCGGTCAGGGTGCTCATGCTGACCCGTGTCTGCAGCCAAAAGGGCCTACAATGGGCACATGACCATCAGAACTGGACCAAGGAGCAATGGAAGAAGGTGGCCTGGTCTGATGAATCCAAGAATGGTTTGAGGAACACAACAAGAAGTTTAAGGTGTTGACTTTAAAATTTCCAGATCTCAATAAAAACAAACATCTGTGGGATGTACAGAAAAATAAGTCCGATCCATGGAGGCCCCACCCCACAACTTGCAGGACCTAAAGGATCTGCTACTGACGGCTTGATGCCGGATACCACAGCATATCTTCAGAGGTCTAGTGGAGTCCATTCCTCGACAGGTTATGGTGAGTGGTCATAATGTTATGACTGATCGGTGTATATGTTGCACAAAATATCAGAGAACGCAGGAGTGGTGAGAAGATCCAGGGAGTGGATTGAATGGAAACCAGGGGATCTGGGTATTGGAAAGAAGAAAAAAGCAACCGAATGCCTGAGCTCCTGCGCTGGACAGTGGACTCCACAATGTCAATATCCCCACATGTGTATGAAAGGAATGCAAGCCTTGCTGCCCTCAATGGACCA